GTAAAATTATACAGCTTCTCATGCAGCTGTCAGTCGTGTTTGAAAATTGGGATGAAATTGCTCATGTAAATGAATCATCAGATGCTTGTTTTATTCATCTGCGGACAGCTGGTTTTTTTATTGATCTAGATGGTCCAATGGCAGCTGAAATCATTCCCACTGCATAAAGACTCTGAAATAAAAACAGAAGGTGTTGGAGAAACTCAGCAGTTCTGTGTGCAGAGAAACAGAGTAAATGTTTTGAGAAATATGAGTTGTTCAGACTTTCTGAACTCTGTTCCTCTCACTGCAGATGGTCCCATGCCTGTTGAGTTTTCCAACAATTTTTGTTTATATTTTAGACCTCTAGGATCCACAGTTATTCACTTTTTAAATTAAGGATTCTTTGGGTTCTGATAAAACCACACCTGTCAAGGAACTGATGACATATCCGGCAAATTATAGCATACAACATAATATTTCTCATGTTGAGTTTTGTGAATCATAGCATCCACAGACATGGCTACTCTGACATAAGTGGGTATAAATTCAATTCTGGTATGCACTTTGGTACATACTCTACTTAGACTCATGTCGCGTTCTTCCAATGTAGCCTGACATCTCAACCATGGTTTTGTTCTTCTTTCTTCTGAGAATGTTGGCATTGAGGAATTATGTGGGAAAACCCATTGAGGCTGTTGTGGGCAAGATACTGCTGCAAGTAACAATGGTTCAAAGGCTCCTAAAAATAAAATGGAAATAACCCAGATAAAACAAAATGGGTTAGTAATGTTCTGAAATTTTGCAATCTTTTTACTGGGTCTTAATAGAGATCTTTCTAAAGCATGGTATTTAACAATTGTAGTTATCCACTTTGGTGAATGATGAAAATGTCATGACATAGTGTGTTAAGTGAAGTGTTAACCTTGTTTACATGCTTCAGCTCACAACCCAATAGCCACTTCCCAGGCCCATCATAATTACCCTTGTAAGCAGCAATGAACAATTAGCAGACAGTATACTCAACTTTACCTAATTTTCCAGTTGGTAACATCTATTTAAGACACAAAACGTAGATTTAATGATGAGAATAATCAAAGTGCAGGAGAAATTTAACATGGAGTACACTCATGGGTCCCCAAGTTCATCTCAGTGAAATTGCATGCTTAATATTTTTAATTACAAAAACAATTTGAGATAAATGAGCACTGAATATGAGAAATAGACTGCTATTCCACAGTTGCATTATGGATCAGAGCAAACCCCTTATGCAGCTATTATGGGAACAGCTGGAGAGTTGGGCTTAATGCATCACATGCTGCCTTGCTAGTAGGACAGTGAGTGATTTAGACCAATTGTAAATAAATTTCCTTGTTCAAATGATTAAGTATTGCTTGTTTCTTCATAAAGGGTGCATTAATGCCTCAGGTAAGCCTCAATCACTTGATAAAACAATAAAAAATACTTCTAAGTGAGGAGCCATTTCAAAAGGTATTTTGCTGCAGCAGTCTATGAATAGAACTTAAGGTGAAGACACATTTCTTAAAATCCCTTACCCTGCAAATGTTGAAGATATTTACAATGTGTTGAATTTATTTTGATGGTATTACTTTACTTGACACTACTTGAAACTGATCACTATCTTGAAGGTATTTCCTATAGACTGTAAAAACACAAAATAATCCTGCATTTATAAAGCACTTTTCATTGTCTCAGGACATCCACACAGATTTACAGTAGCAACTGCTTTACATTTTTAAAATTTAGCTGCTGAAGAAGATGCAAAAGTGAGCTTGGGCAAAGTAATGTGAAATAAACTGATGATCATCATTACAATATGATAATCCCTAGAAGATCTGTTTTAGTATTGTGGTTAAAGGATACATTTTGGACAAGACATGGGGAAGAATTTCCCTGCATGTCTTTGAAATGTTGCTACAGGTTAATTTATGTCTAGCTGAGGCAGTAGAATGAGACATTGTTTAGAGACTCATGTAAAAAATGACTCCCCTGACAGTGCAGCTCTCTTCAGTACTGCACTGTTGTATCAGCAATGAAACTTATGCCCTACATTTAAAAAAACTTCAGAGATTAGGACATTTTTAAAAGTTTTATCATTGGAATTTCATCCATGATTATTCATCTTCCTCAGGAGATGAAATAAACTAAAGTCAATCTATGATGGCACAGATTGTACATTGTTAATTAGGGTAAATATTTTTGTGCAGTCTTTTTATTGTTATTGATTAATAGTGAAGATGGTAGTAAATAGAAAAAGCTGTACATACCAAATGAGTAATAGAATTCTGCTACAGTGTGTTCTCAAAGCCCTAATTCTCATATAATGGTAATCAGAATAGCTTTACCTCTTTTATGGTTTTCTAAAGATACTGAGGTATATGCCTACATGACAATAAATAACAGCCATGATTTGATGTGCCCATCAAAAAGCCTTTTGCGGTAGGAAGATGGAATCATAGGGACAGAAGTAGGTCATTTAATGCTCAATCCTGTGTTGTCTTCAGCAAAATCAAGGTTCATATACAATCTAACTCATGTGTCCATATTTACCCCAAAACCCTGAATACATTTGGCTAACATAAAGCTGTAAATCTCAGATTCAAAAATTATAACTAATCTAATATGAAATGCCATTTTTACAAAATTGAACAAAAATTGTTTCAAATAGTTCTTTGGACATAGAAGTGTTTCCTAACTTAAATTTTGAAAGGTCTGGCTTTTATTTTTAGACTATGTCCCTTTGACCTAGAGTCCCCATTTTGTGGAAATAGTTTCCCTTTATCTTCCGTATCTGTTAATTTTAATGTCTTGAAAACTGTGGTCACATTACCTCTTGATATCCTGAATTCAAAGCAATACAATGAAGTTTGCCGCAGTAAAAAATGACAACAGCAACTAACAATGCAACATACTAAGCAAGCTAGAGAAATTTTCAAGAAGCAGAATTATAAAACAGAAACAGCGGGATGAAGAATATTATCAGAAGAGGCCTGACTCACAATTAAATGCGAAGGAATATCAGTGACAGAAAGATTACTGCCACATCAAGATGACAATGGGAAATAGGACTTCTCCAAAAGTTGTATTCACAGTGATTTTGTAAATTAACTGCATTTCAAACAAAATAGACTTTCCATTCAACAACTTTGCAGGCGTGTTTAGCCTATTGTTGTTCTTTGATTGCATAGAGTTATTGATTACATCATGTTTAATATTTAGAGGCTTTAGTTTCTTTTGTTAAGCTATAAATACATACTCATATACTTTCTTCATGCATTAAGGATTATGCTTTATAATTTGAAGCTTACCATTTTCTTGAGTGTCAAGCATATTTTCCAGGCTGCTTCATTTCATTATCTTACCTTCATTACTGCAGTGCAGTGGATTAAAACATTCATTAGGAGCTAGCCATCTCTGACTGGTGCTCTAAGAAAGCAATGGTGGTACTTAATTCCTCCAATAAACCAAATGAAGTATTACCAGTGATCTCCATAGAATGCTCTTGCATGAAGCTTTATTTTCTTCTTAATTAACCTGACACTAGGGTTATTGGTATTACTGAATTACTTTTTTTTCAAAAGGAGAGCATACTAGTCCTCCTCATCAAATTGAAAATACCTGCTGTATCTAAGGTTAACACTTTATTTCAAATACAGCTCAAGTGATGCTATCAGTGATGTGTCACTTCCTTTTATTAAACGTTGGTTGGTATCTTCTTTTTGGGGGTTATTTTGGTTAAATAATTTGGAGATCTTTTGGGGTAACCATGAAGGTCAAGCTCTGGATAAAGAATACCTTTATGGTGTATTTCATTCCAGATTCATTTTCTTTGCTGTTTTGAGTGAAGTTAATTTTCCTGCCACTGTTTAGTGGGGATGTAACCAGCAATGCAATGGAACCGATCACCTACAATTTCCTTTATTTCATTTCGTTATCAATCGTAACTTATTGTTTTTACTTCCCACCTGGAGGGTCAATGTTGAAAAGTATAATGTTAATTAAATTGGTTAACATTAACGTTGAAAGAAACAGTTCTTCCATTATTGATTCGAATAAGCAACACAAGATAAAACTACGCTCTATATACCGTTCCAAAAAGATTGAATACAAAATATTTAATCGCGTGTTACAATTAGCGCAATATAGACAGCATTTTGACATTCACACCGTTGTAGGCACTGGTCAAACATTCTAGTTACTGATGTACACTTCTAATTAATCATCCATTAACTTTTCAGTCTGTTTTACATTTCTGTCTTTACACCAGCTCGACAGAATAATTAGAGCTCAAATTACTAGTCCCACGAGCAGCGTCATGCGCGGTCATTTATGGATTTGTGTTCTTCCGTTTGTTGCGAGATCTCCAATGCAAGTGACTTATTTTCTGACAAATATTTCACTCAAAAATCTGACACTTTGATTCGAACTGGGAAAGGAACTCTGATCTTTAAACACGTCCTATTTTGCAAATCCAAGCTTTCCAAAGCGGCTCTCTCCTGCCATATCCTACAGACCACAATAAAGTCAAGGGGGTGGCTATAGAAGGCAGAATTTTAAACCATTGCATTCCGCGGTCCTTCCAACAATGAGCTAAGGCGAGTAGCAGAAGGCGGTTTACCGAGGACTGTGTCTGGCTGTGTAACGGGGGCGGTTTGGTGCAAAGCCTCACAGCCAGTGATCTCTGACGCAGATCTACGAGACAACTCATTTTTTTTGTGATCTGTTTAATTGATATACAACCAGTTGCTGTTTGCCAAAGGCGGAGTGGGGGAAGCAACGCAGCCCAAACCGTGCGGCGATTTGGAGCTGAGTGCTGTCTCCTGGCTCAGTGAAATGGGGTGGGGGCACAGCGCTGGGATTACTAGGTGAATACCGGGCTGCCCCCTAGAGGTGACAGTGCTGTGGCGGGGAGTAACTGTGCACAGGGGAGGAGGGTAGGGGGATGAGCTCTCCGTCAGCAGTGCCTGACAGAGTCCAACTCCCCGCTCACTAACAAAACCATGCGAAGACTGTCGGACATAAGTCTGCACCTCAACCAGCTCAAGTATCTGTCTCCTTCGCCCTCTGAAGACCAGCAGTGCTCCCGGTCCTTTATGGATGTCAAAGCTGCTTCCAACGGGGTGTCTACCATCGAGGACAGGATCTTACGGATCACGGGATATTATGGCTATTACCCGGGATATTCGAGTCATCAAAGTAAGTGAAGCGCTCACAAACCCAACTCCTGGCTAAAGGAGCCAGCGAGGAAACAACCAAAAGACACCTTCCGTTTGATTTCACTGGCAGAGTTCCCTCGGGTGATGATTCTGAAGTTCTGACAGTACCCAGTCGTTTGCTGTAAACAAAATATCCGCCAAGTAATGAACTAAGTCTAAAACTTATCCAGTCGGCTGCATGCAATTTCCAACCGGTCCCAACTCTGAAGTCTCCTCTTGGATGTGTAGGTGTATGTGTAGGTGCCTGAAGGTGGATGTTTCTGGGGTGAAGGAAGGGATTGGGGGAGATAGGGAGATGTGAGTCAGTCACTGCTCAGTATTCCCGGTGCATCTTGCAGGCTGCGCTGTTTCAGTCCCGGGAGCGCTTGAAATATGACCACGCTTTTACTAGGAATTTATTCACCCGACCAAAATTCCTCTTTTAAAATGCAGATTGTGTTTTTATTTCCCCCTGCTGGGAATTAGTTTGCATCTTTGGCTTCCTCTGGCGGTCCAAGGTGCCCAATTGTTGGGACTGATAATGACGCTGTCCTGTCGTCGCCTCTGGAACCGCAGGCAGTGGATAAGAAGCCCCTGAGGGGATTGTAACTAGAAAAGGGCTTATAGTAATGTGAAGCCCACAGTGACCGAAACGACCTTTAACTGGCTTCACCGCTTGAGGTGAAACTTGCAAGGACACTGTAAAACATTCGTATAAGACCGATTTTATAAATCCTCTTGTTGCTCCTGGTTGGCCATGGCTTCCCATCAGGGTGTAAAATACATTGGCAAATGCTGAATTTTACTATTGATGGTGATCTCAGTGGTGCGGCTACTCGCAAACAATGTCAGTTGAAAACTAAGTGAGCGCTGGTACTGACAAGTGGTTCCCAACGCGCAAGAAGATTTTATTCTGATATTTTGAAGGCGATGGGGGGCGGGGCAATGCAAAGATGAAATGTTTCTGCCATACTCCGGTGGGGAATCTCCGTGTGTCGAATAAAGGTAGATGGCGTGGAATGAATGACCCCAGTCCGGTTAATGGACTGGCCATTGAACACTGTGTTACAAACCTTCACAGCTCGGATGGAGATCTCTGCACTGGCTTGGAATACACGGCCGTGCAATTTGCTTCACACTACCTCATCGAATAGATCAACATCTCCCTCTTCCTCTGAGTACTGCTCTGACAGTGTACTGCGGGCAGATGTTTATCAATGCGACATCTAACCGGGGTTGCTGAACACTACCGTTCTGCCTCTCACATTGACTTTGCTGGCGCCTGGATGAGAATCAAATACAATAGGATCTTAACAAAAAACGAAAACAACCTGTAACCGTCACTATATAGTCACCGCTGATATTTCCGACACTTAATGGTTTATTTACGCAAATGTCTCTACTGATAAATCATACCAAAAAAATACAAAATACAGAGAAGGGACTGGGTTTGTTTTAAGTCAGTGGATATTTCCCAAAGGTTTCTCGTTCAGGATTACATGGCTGTGAAGCTGTTACCTGGCACAAAATTGGGGGAAAGTTACTAAGATCATCTATTCCTGTCATTGGAAAAGAAAACTGATTATTTTCCTGCAAGGTGACCTCATTTCCAACAGTTAGACAACACGTTTAACGTATTATAATGTGAAACCTCAACAGCCCAGAGCAATCCAGAGCAGGGATTCATTCACATTGCATGCAGGAAGTTTATTAAACTAATGAACTAATTTCTCACATTCTCAATTGATAAAAACCTAGTCAGCCAGTAAAGACCTTCAGTCTGAAAAGCCCATCTACCCAGACCCAGTTCCATTTGTAGACAAATACTTGCCTCATTACTCCTTCAAAGCCATAAAAATTTCTTCCATCATTTGTGTGGATAAACTGTTCCACAGATTTATTTTACTCTTATTAACAAGAAGAACCTTCTGCATTTTCCATTGCCTTTCATTTCTAGCGGTAATCCTTGCCCTGGCATTGTGTGCACAGCATTAATGCTCACTTGGATCTGATTTGTCCAAACCTTAAAAATTGGAAATACTTCTGTCACATGTTGCCTCAACTTGTTTGAGTTGGAAAAGACTCACAATCATCAATCTTTCCTTAGGTGCCATTTCCTTAAGGTCTTAAGTGTGTAGCTCTTTTCTACAACATTGGCTGTCAATGCTGCATCGACAGAGTGTGTCTTACTCAGTTCTCTTGTATATTTAGTAATGATATAGTTGATAACTAAGTTTGTATTAGAACAAATTTTGTTGTATTCCTATCTATAATGCATTTTTGGGTCTCTGGAGTACTGTGTGCAGAGAAAACATTGACCTTGAGCAATACAGATGTGAGCAATAAATATGAAATCCTCAAAATGTTAAGAAGGGTTGACTTGTTTTCCTTGGGTAAAAAACTTTGGGGGAACATGTTTGAAGTTTTCAATATTATAAAGGAGATTGACAAAGTTGACTCCTAAAAACTGATCGCTTTTGGGAAGGGTTCAAAGGGATAATGGGAACATTTCCAGGTTGGCAACGTGTAAGTAGGGAACATGGCAGGGATTAATGCTACTGTCACAATCATTTACTACATAATGACTGAGATGAGGGAAGTAAATATGGTATTGCCACACTTGCTGATGATACATAAATAGGTGGGAAGGTAAATGGTGAGTATGAGACAAAGAGTCTACAGAGGGCTACATTCCCACTAGTTCTTCCCGCTTCTGCGTGGGCCTCTGAGGTCCACTTATGACTGTGGCTTTTGGAATGGGAAATCAATGTGTCCATATCACAATCAGCATGTGTGGACACTCAGAGCAGCTGTATGATTGCACAGCCTGGAAGGAGCACTGGCAAAGGGATTTAGACAGGTTAATTGAGTGGGCAAAATCTTGGTGGATGGAATGTAATTTGGGAAAATGTGAGGTTATGCACTTTGGTAGGAAGCGTAGATGAGCTGAATATCATAAAAATGGCAGAATGACTACAGAAAGCTGCAGCTCAGAGAGATTTGGGAATCCTCTTGCATGAATCACAAAAAGCTAGCGTCCAAATTCAGTGAATGATAGGGAAGGCAATTGAAATGTTAGTCTTTATTAAGAATGGAGTATAAAAGTAGGGAGATTTTGCTAAAACTACAGAAGGCACTAATTAGACCACAACTAGAACACCGTGAACAGTTTTGGTTTTTATCTAAGGAAGGATATCCTAGCATTGGAGTCAATCCAGAGAATCCATGAGGTTGAATCTGGGTACAGAAAGATTTTTTTATGAGGAGAATTTTAGGTTGGGCTTGTAATCTTTGGAGTTTAGAAGAATGAGAGACAATCTAATTCAAACATAAGATTCATAAGGGGCTTGAGAAGGTAGGTGCAGAGAGGTTGTTTCCCCTTATGGGAGTCCAAGAATAGAATAATCTCAGAGTAAGACCCCACCCATTTAAGACAATGATGGGGAGGAATTTCTTCTCGGAGTGTGGTGAGTTTGTGGAATTCTTTACTACAGAAGCCGTTGATGCTGGGTTATTAAGAATGTTCAAGGCTAAGAAAGACAGATTCATTAGTAAGGGAATCAAAGGTTATGGGGAAAAGGCAAGATTGGAGTTGAGGATCATCAGATCAACCACGATCTCATTGAAAGGGGAACCAGACCTGATGGGCTTTATGACAATCTAGAGCTCCTACATCTTACATTGTACAGTACCAGGATTGTTTGTAACTTGGAGGGAAAAATTGGAATTGATGATATTTCAATAACGTCCTTCCTCTTTCATTCTTGATGGTAAAGGCTATGCACAGCTGTTATTGAGGTAATTGTGTTGAACTTGCTGCAGTGCACAATGTGCACTTTATATATTTCCAGCTGCAGTGTGCCATATGTTGATTGGGTGGATATTAAGTCCAATGGTAGGGACGTTGCTTAAGACAACTGTACTGTGCTGATTGAGTGTTGTTGCTGCTGTAGCCTTCCAGGAGTGATTAGTATTTAAGACTTTACTGATGGAAGCCTTGTAGATGATGGCCAGTATTCAAGCAGTCAGGTGAATAATTGTGTCTTGATGGAACTGTTGATGACAGTACTAATGGCTGAGCCTGACAGAGTGCAAATTGGCTGGGTTGGATTTATTCTGTTTTCAGTAAACTTGCACATGTAACTATACTGAACTAACTGCATTAAAAGAATAACTCATTAGTCTGCAAATATCTTCAGGATTATAGCTTGGATATTGTCAGGATGTATCACCTTTCTTGTGTTCAGTGCAGTCAGCTTTTTAACATTATATTGAGTAATTAAATTTACTGGACCTTGGCATGTTTAATGGTGTGTACTCAGTACCTTTGGCAGAAGACACTTGTTTCAGACATGTCTTTTGTAGTCATGGGTTGATGCTGTACTGTACTGTAGATGAGAATACAGATGATCATGACATTTCCTCCTTCTGTTGGTTACTTGCATTTATTCTTGTTACAAATCTGTAGTCATCTTGAGAAGTTGGTGACGAGTCTTCTTCTTGAACTCCTGCATTCCTAACCTTGATAGCACGCTCATCAGCCAAAATATGATGTGTTAGGGCTTCAAAGCCTTGTTTCAAATGTTGCTTAGGGGTTGCTTACTGTCTGCTGCTTTTGGAATTTAGACTTGCAAAGTAGTTTCATTACATTTATATCTGATTCTAAGGAATGTGCGTTGCTGATCCTGGTATATCTTTCTACCCTTTTTATTGAACCAAGTTAGTTTTGTGGCCTGATGTAAGTCAAGGAACCAGAGTTGGGTTGTAAGATGAGTTAACAGACTGTAAGAATGTACAAGTTAGCAATGGGTGATGACCATCACCGCTCCCCCTGCCACCACCCCATGCTCTTGATTCTGTCAGAGATTCCTCCATATAGTGTTCCACCTGGAGGAGTACTAATCCATTATTGAGGAGGATATAGTAGGTGTTGATCAGCAGGAGACTTCAATATCAGTGTTGTTCCCAAGGTCTTTCTCACCCAATTGTGTAGCATTGAGT